GCATGCGCCACCCACACCCAATTCGGCACACCCCTCAGACGTTTCGTGGCCCCATAGGGAACCCCACCGAAGGCCCCAGTGCCACCGCCCGCATGCGTCACGCACACCCAATTCGGCACACCCCTCACACGTTTCGTGGCCCCATAGGGAGCTCCACCGAAGGCCCCAGTGCCACCGCCCGTATGCGTCACCTACACCCAACCCGGCACACCCCTCAGACGTTTCGTGGCCCCATAGGGAGCTCCACCGAAGGCCCCAGTGCCACCGTCCACATGCGTCAACCCACCCACTATGGCACACCCCTCACACGTTTCGTGGCCCCATAGCGAACTCCACCGAAGGCCCCAGTGCCACCATCCACATGCGTCACCCCCATCCACTTCGGCACACCCCTCACACGTTTCGTGGCCCCATAGGGAGCCCCACCGAAGGCCCCAGTGCCACCGCCCACATGCGTCACCCCCACCCACTTCGGCACACCCCTCACACGTTTCGTGGCCCCATAGGGAGCTCCACCGAAGGCCCCAGTGCCACCGCCCGCATGCGTCACCGACACCCAATTCGGCACACCCCTCACACGTTTCGTGGCCCCATAGGGAGCTCCACCGAAGGCCCCAGTGCCACCGCCCGCATGCGTCACCTACACGCACTTCGGCACACCCTTCACACGTTTCGTGGCCCCATCTGGAGCTCCACCGAAGGTCCCAGTGGGTGTGCCCGCATGCGTCCCTCACGCCCATTTCGGCACACCCCTCACACGTTTCGTGGCCCCATAGGGGGCTCCACCGAAGGTCCCAGTGGGTGTGCCCGCATGCGTCCCGCACACCCATTTCGGCACATCCCTCACACGTTTCGTGGCCCCATAGGGAGCTCCACCGAAGGTCCCAGTGGGTGTGCCCGCATGCGTCCCGCACTCCCATTTCGGCACACCCCTCACACGTTGCTGGCCTCCGTGGGACCAAAGGGAGGGACATGCATATGGTGAGGAGGCAGGGAAAGGGAGGGAAAGGGAGGGAGGGGATTGAGGGAGAGGGGGGAAGGAAGAGGACTGACGAAGAGGGGCTCGGAGGAACGAGGGAGTGACGATGATGATGCTGATGATGATGATGATGATGATGATGATGATGATGATGATGATGAGGATGATGATGATGCTGATGACGACGACGATGACATTGATGGCGATGATGATGATGATGATGATGATGATGATGATGATGATGATGATGATGATGATGATGATAATGATGATGGTGATGATGATGAGGAGGATGATGATGATGATGATGATGATGATGATGACGCTGATGATGATGATGATGATGATGATGATGATGATGATGATGATGATGATGATGATGATGATGATGATGATGATGATGATGATGATGATGATGATGATGATGATGATGATGATGATGATGATGATGATGATGATGATGATGATGATGATGATGATGATGATGATGATGATGATGATGATGATCGACGACGACGACGACAACGGAGATGACGAGGCCGACGATACCGAGAGGAGGAGGAGGATGAGGGAGAAGGGGAGAGGAGGGATGAGAGAGCAGGGGGGAGGAGCCAGGAGGAGGAGGAGGAGGCTCGCGTGCTGCCAGCTCGGCTGGAGTCCTCGGCTGACGGCGCAGAAAACTGGCCAGCTTGGACCCGGGAGGGGTCCGAGGATCGATTTCCAGCGGGTGCTGGCCCAGGGTGGCGCGAAGGGGGTGGCCTTCCAAGAAGCCAAGGGGGGATTCTTGGAGGGGCTCGGAGGAACGAGGGAGTGACGATGATGATGATGACGATGATGATGATGATGATGATGATGATGATGATGATGATGATGATGAGGATGATGATGATGATGATGATGAGGATGAGGACGACGACGACGACGAAGATGACGATGACGACGATGCCAATGACGATGATAATGATGATGGCGATGATGATGATGATGACGACGACGAAGATGATGGTGATGATGATGACGACGGCGACGTCGACGACGACGATGGTGATGATGATGACGACGACGATGATGATGGCTATGATTCGGATTCTGACTATGACGACGGCGGTGACGATGATGATGATGATGATGATGATGATGATGATGATGATGATGATGATGATGATGATGATGACTACGACGGTGACGGTGATGATGACGATGACGATGACGATGACGGTGATGATGATGATGATGATGATGATGATGATGATGATGATGATGATGATGATGATGATGATGATGATGATGGTGGTGATGATGATGATGATGATGATGATGATGATGATGATGATGATGACTACGACACCAATCTCCGAGATCTCATGGCGTTCCTGCGCAAACCGGGGAAGCCGGGTCCTCAGGCCATCCGGGCCACGTGGAACGCCATGCAGCTGAAACCCGATGATCGCCGGCTCCGTGAGGAGAGGTGCCAGGACGGCCACATGATCGGGTCCTACTGGGACACCGTCGCGCGGTGGATGAACATGCGTGCTCAGCGGGACGCGGACGTCCTGAAGAAGCCCCTCTTCCTCGTGCAAGCCGCCGACAGGTCTGCACTGACGATGAGCGCCAAGGACGCCGTCAAGATGATGAACTGTGCCAACCCGAAGAACACCGGTGGCATGCACGGGCTGCTCCCGGTGCGCGTGGGCATGCGGATCCGGCTCCTGGGAGCGCTCGACCTCAAGATCGGCCTCGTCAAGGATGCCGAGGGGCAGATCGTGCACATCGTCGTGGACCCTCGAGATCGAGACGACGTCGAGAGAGCCGAGAGAGGGGGATAAGAGGATCTACCTGAAGCGCTTGCCGCTGGGGTTCTGGGCGCGCATGGAGAAGTACGCGAGCGCGCCCTTCGTGGGCGACCTGAAGCGCCACGACGACAGCCTCACGGGGGACCTCGCGGGCCCGCTGATGTTCATCGAGCCCCGCACGTCGGAGCCGTTCACCTTCCGCGCCTCCAAGGTCACGCGGGCGGGCTTCCCCTTCTCGCACGGCAGGGTCATCGCCGCGGTGGCGTGCCAGGGGCGCGCCATGCGAGAAGGCGACGGGGCGGGGGAACGGAGCTCCGGGGACGGCCAGACCTCCGGGGCGCGAGCAGTCCGCGGCTAGACCTCGGTCCTGTGGACTCTCGCCCTGGGCCGTCGGCTGCCCGGCGCGCTGCTCCCTCGGCCGACGTCGCCCGGGCGTTATCCTGGACTGCGGCCGCCGCGAGGTCGGGAACGGCAAGAAGGAGGGCGACGATTGGTGGCTGGAGCCCTATGCGCTGCTCTCGCGCCCTGATCACGCGGGCGCCGCGTATCGAGTTCTTCCCGGCAGGGCCGCCGGAGGGCTTGCGGAAGCAGCTGGAGCAGTTTGCGGCGCGCGCGAAGCGGTGCAGGAGGGGGGCGACGCCCCTCGCCAGGGAGCTCGGCTTCGCCGACTTTATCCGCGAGGCCTGACCTGAGGGGCGCCCCCCCGAGCCGCGCCTTCTCTCGACTGCCCGACTAATTGTGTGTCCTCGCGCCGCGGACGACCCGCGCGCGTCGCTGGGGCCCTCCCTCTCGGGGCGACCAGCGCGCGTCGCGGGAACTCCGTGCTGCGTTTTGCCCGGCGCCTCCTTCGCCCGTCGTCGCTCTGCCCAGCGGTCAGAGCCTTGCCCGCTATCAGCCAGCCAGTCAGCTAGCCAGCTCTCTCTGCTCCGCGCAACGGACGACCCGCGCGCGTCGCTGGGGCCCCGCTTGGGGCGACCGGCGCGCGTCGCGGGGACTCCGCGCTGCGCTGCGCCCGCAGCGTTAGATTTTTGGAGTGCGCGGGCAAAGAGGGGGGAAAAGAAGAGACGAAAGCGGGCGCGATCCTCGCAAGGGGCGTGCCGACATGGGCGTCGCGGCGTGCGGGCGTTGCCGTCGGGGCCCCCGCGGAAGCTGCCTGCGGCGGCCGCGCCCAGTGTCACGAGTGTTCGGACAGGCATGCGTAGCCATGATCGCATCATGCAAATGTACTCTCTCGCACGCAGACCTATTCACACTCGGACTCCCTCGCGCTCTGACTCACCCGCGTTCATTCTTTCATAATCAGACCTATCGTATTCCTTTGCGTTGTGTACCCCGCCACATTTCGGCACGCCCCCCATGCAATTCGTGGCCCCGTAGGGAGCGCCACCGAAGAAGATGCTCGCAGTTGCGGTACTCACAACTGCATATGGTTGGCTCCTTCGCCAGGATAGTTTTACCATGTCGAAGTCGCATGTCATTACTATTATGGTTGGTTCAGGCGACGGAGATGATACCGTGCGTGGGGCGCCACTTGCATCGCTTTGTTTGCGCGGGCAGCTTGCCGAGCAAACTGTTTGGAAGGCAGCGTGCCAAGCAAGTTGCCCGGAACCATTGGTTCGAAGAAGGCGGCGCCGCCCAGCCACTACCAGAGCGACGAGCTGATGCGAACAAGTCTTGCGCGCGAGTCGTGGCGTTGGAACGTCCAACCGCTACCAGAGCGACCAGCCGGTACGAACAAGTCTTGCGCGCCAGTCATGGCGTTGGAGCGCGATGCTCGTCTGGGCAATGTGTTTCGCAAGCACGGCCCCGACGACGTTGGGTTTGTGCATGCATGAAAGCAAAGCATCTGGTAATAATCTGCAAGTCCGTAGGGCCGTCGGACTCGCAAGCCGATGTCGGCGAGGGTTTTTGTACCCTTGCGGGTTGGATGCTTCGGACAGGCCGTTGTGGCAGCTGGTGAGTGTGCGTGGCAGGGGGTCGAAACTTGATTATTTGGGGTTTGTGGGCTTATTTATTTTAAAAAAGTCAAATCGGCGACTGGGGCGACCAAGTGGGACAGGAGGTGCGGGCCAAGCAGACGAACACTGTTGTGGAATACTACTATCCCCGTTCGCTTTGCCAGCCCGCGTCATCGGAAACGACGCCTCGGCGAGGCGCTTGGTGTGCGAGTGCGAGCGCAAGGCCCCCGCGGTGCGCGATCTCCCCAAGGCGCTCGCCTCCGCGTCGAG